GGGGGTGTGATGAATTGGGCGATTGGGACTGACATGTATACACTGATGTGTATAAAACTGATGACTAATAAGAACCTGCTGTATAAAAAAATAAAATAAAATTCAAAAAAATAAAAGTAAAATGCTAAAAAAAATAAAAATAAAAAACAAAGGCAGGAACTCATGGACTCCCTGGAATGTTCTCTAAGACCTGCTGTTAAAACATAAACCAGGGACTTCCCTGGTGACGCAGTGGTTAAGAATCCGCCTGCCAATGCAGGGGACACGGGTTCAATCCCTGATCTGGGAAGATCCCACATGCCGTGGAACAACTAAGCCTGTGTGCCACAACTACTGAGCCTGGACTCTAGAGCCTGCGAGCCACAACTACTGAGCCCATATGCCACAACTACTGAAGCCCACGCGCCTAGAGCCCGGGGTCCGCAACAAGAGAAGCCACTGCAATGAGAAACCCGCGCACCGCAACGAAGAGTAGCCCCCACTCGCCGCAACTACAGAAAGCTTGCATGCAGCAACAAAGACCCAAAGCAGCCAAAAATAAAAAAAAAAAAAACAAAAACATAAACCAAGTTGCAAAGCAATATGTCTGTTATGATCCCATTACACAGAAACAGTTGAAGGCCACTACAGACAAATGAGTCCTACCCATAAGTGTACGACTGTAAGTATGTAAACACAGAGAAGGCTCAGGCAGTGGCCATGCCTCGCTCGTGACAGGGAGCAGGGTGGACTTGGATTTATCTGCATTGTTCGAATCATTTCTACCAAGGACGATATATTTCTGCCCTTGACTCCATCACATTTGTCTGTTTCTCTGCATGTCTGGTATTTACTAGTGTAATTCAGACCTTGCAGATGATGTGTCATTGAGACTCTGGGTTCTGTTATCATTCTCTGAAGAGTGTTGAATTCTGTTCTCTAGACAGTTGAATTACGGGAAGATTGCCATGGACTTGTGGAGACTGGGCTTTAAGTTTTATTACGGCAAATGTATTTTGATTTTTTCCTTAGTCTTAGTGCAAATCCCTTATTTCTAGAACACAGTCTTTATTCCCAAAATGTTGCCTTTTGGGCTAAAATGGAAAACTGAGGCGTTTACCAAGCTTCTCTATCAGTTTCCAAACTCGGTCTCCCCTGGAGTTAGGCCATTTCGGCCTCCAGCTCAGTCTTGCCCTGGGACCTTTGGAATCTTACCCCTACATGTGCATTTCAGGCCAGCCATGTACTTGAAGGGGGTTTTATGGCCCCAAACTTCCCAGCACCCTTCAGTTTGCATCCTTCGCCCTCTCCAGCTGGTAAGGCTGTGGCTTTGTGATCGGGTCTGGCTGATCAGGAGCCCTCAGGAGAAAACAGCTGTCTTTCAAGAGCTGCCTTCCTCCAGTTTCCGCCTGCTTTTTGCTCTTCTCCAGTGCTTTCTGACAGCTGTTTCATGTATTTTGTCCACATTTCATAAAACACGAGGGTTCTGCGATTATTGGAAGTGGAAATTCTACCTTTTGGTTTTTGAATCAAAATCTTACCATCTAAAGTCGTATCATCCTGTAATTGTATCATCTATTCAAGAAGTGAACTATTGAAACACAACCAGTGGGACTTTCCTGGCAGTCTAGCGGTTAAGACTTCTTCCAATGCGGGGCGTGCGGGTTCAATCCCTGGTTGGGGAGATAGAAGCCCACATGCCTCGGGGCCAAAAAACATAAAACAGAGACAATATTGCAACAAATTCAACAAAGACTTTAAAAATAAATGGTCCACATCAAAAAATATTATAAAAAGCAAAAAAACCCCACAAGCAGTGAACAAAACTAAATATTAAGACCTGTAAAGGCAGACGATTCTCTGTGGTTTAAGTCAGAGGATGCCATCCAATTAAGTCAGGTGTATCACCCAGGCCCCGCCCCGCCGCACACCCTGTCCCGGGTACCCAAGCCTCGCCCCTCAGGCGCCCCGCCCTGCCCCTGCGCCCAAGCCCCGCCCCGTAGCACGCAAAGCCCCCCTGCGGGCGCGCCCGTTTCCATGGCGACGCGGAGCTGAGCGGCGGCAGACGGGCCACCTAGGGGTCGTGCGTCCGCAGCGGAGGCGGCTACATGAGCGCGGCGTGGGTGGTGGCTGGGCTGCGGCCCCCCAGCTCGGGGATCCCGGGCTCCCGGGCTCCCGGGGCGCGTCTCGCCCGCGCCTGCCCGCGGTCCCTCCGTACCCCAGGCAGCACGGCGCGCCGGTCGGGCTCAGTGAGGCGCAGAAGCGGGCGCTGGACCTGGAGAAGAAGCTGCAGTTCCTGCAGCAGCAGCACTCGGAGACGCTGGTCAAGCTCCACGAGGAGATCGAGCACCTGAAGCGGGAGAACAAGGGTGAGGCGGCCGGCGCCTCAGACGGCGCACGAAGGCTGAGGGAGGACGCAGGGCCGCAAGTCCCAACCCGGCCACTCGGGGCTCGGCTCCCCGCCCCAGCACCAAAGCCAACTGCGGGGGGCGGGTCTGGCCGCGCCATTCCCGAAGGTAACCCAGCCCGCCCCTCCTCTCCAGGCAGGGTCAGGCGGCCTCCTTTGAAAAACTTTTGTAGAAGTGAAACACACCCCCAAAGTACGCGTATATAGCTAAATGAATTTTCACAAACTAAGCACACCCAGATCCGGGGCCCCAGAACGATCCCTGACACCTGGGTCATCCTGACTCGCCTCTGTGCCCCTGGAGCCCAGGCCCCTCATGGCAGAGACTGCTCTGTAGCCGTCACGGATGGAGGAATGGGCTCCTGGAGAGGCTCTCACACAGGGGCTCTGGCTCAGGGAGCAGCCAGAGGCATCACCGACCCGAGGGTGCCAAGGCAAAGGCTTGGTCCATGGAGCAGGGTCTCTCAGGGGCTCAGCAAGGAGATGTGGGCAGGGAAGGCAAAGCTTCTTTTCTCAGAGTAGCCATGAGGAGAGCCCGTGCTTGTTTTCAGATCTCCACTACAAGCTAATCATGAATCAGAAGCCACAGAAGAAAGGTAAGACAGGCCCACAGGTGCCTGATGGGAAGCTACTGCCCTCAAGAGCAGGCTCCCCAGACTGCATATGCCCACGCGAATTATCCCAGTGGGGAGGGGGCCTGGACAGACAGACCGCTCCCAGCCATGGTCTGGGTGACTTCATGCACCCAAGCACAGCAAGTGCCACTCTTGGGGACCCCAAAGCCTGAGTTCTGTGCAGCAGGGGCAGCGGACAGAGCAGCTGGGGGGCAGGGGGCTGCCCAGGTTCCCCCCTCCCCAGCCCTGGCCTCACTATCCTGGTGAGCTTTCACTTGGACTGCTGCCCCAGGCTTCCCCCGCACAGCCCCAGCCCCAACCCCCGGTCCCTTTGGCCTTGGGGCAGGAAGTTCTGGGCACACTCCTTCCAGGATCCTCCCTATCATCTCCACAGCAACCATGGGGGCATGTCGTCACCTGTGGCCCACTCACCTTGCCTGTCCCCTAGCCCAGCCTGGGGACGACCAGGTCAAGTCTTGGGCTCCCCTCCCCTCTTACTTTTGGGACCAGGTCTGACATCAGGAGGTGGTCTGAGTGGTGAGTGGTGCCCGCCTGGAATGCCCCAGTCTGGGGTGTGCCCAGGGCTCTCTTCCTGGGAGATACGCAGAGGATGGGGTGGTGAGGGCCCTTCTCCAGTGGGGCGGCACAGCTCCAGCGAGCTGATGTGGGCACGTAGTGTCAGGGGTCCCCCGATGGGACCTCGAGAGAAGGCGTGCTCCCATTCAGGTCCCACTGCTTCTTCCGGCCCCAGCCCCGTGGCCCTGGCTCCCTCTGGCACTGGCGGTGTCTGGGGCTGCCTCACCAGAGTGTGGGGGAGGGCTGGGACCTGCAGAGCCAGGAGGCGGGCACAGGTGGGCCTGGCCCTCCGGCCACGGCAGCTATGCAGAAGCGCTGGGACCTGCAGGGATGGGAGCCTCGTTGCTGCCACCTTCTGCTGACCCCAAGCGGCCCCCACAGGCAGAATCTCCAGTTCCAGCTTTCAGTCCAACAAGTCCATCTCGAATACAGTGGTGTCAGGTGAGCACACCAGCACCTCTGTGCTCAGGGTCGGGGAAGAGCAGGTACAGACCTCGGGGCCCCCGGGCCTGAAACGGCAAGTGGGGTGCTGAGCCGAATGCTGAAAGCCCACGGTGGTCCTCCGTGGGGCAGACCTCGGGGGAGCGCCTCTGCCAGTCCCCATGGACTTGGGGGTTAAGGGGTAGCTGAGGGACCAAGGAGGGTCCCCAGGTGCCCTGTGAGCTGAAACCTCCAGGAGGGAGCTGAGGCCAGGGGACAGACAGGTTAGTGGGTCGGCTGGAGGGAGGCCTGAGGACGGGCCACAAAAGCAGGACAGGCTTGGCTGCCGAGGCAAGATGGTCAGTGTGGGGCATGAGTCAGGCAGAGCGTGTGACAGAGGAGCCCCGACTGGTCTTCACTGCTGCTCACTGTGTCCCTCAGAGCAGACAGGACGTGGGTGGGCTGGCCCTCCTACAGAGCCTGGGTTTGTGGCATTTTTGCTGAGTGAGGGGCCTCATCCTAGGAGAGCAGACCTGCACAGGCTGGGCCACCCAGACCTTTCCTTCCGTTTCATTTTGCCCGAAATGGGGTTCAGAGTCAGGGAACAGCTGCTGGCTACCCGACCCCGGCCTTTACCAAGGCCCGTGAGGAGACTGCCCCACGGGGTGTGTGGGGCTCTTCCCACTTCAGCTGCTCGGGGAGCCACCTCCACCACTGCATCTGCTTCAGAACATTCAGGCACCCACAGGCTTCACCCTACTCCCACATCTGTGTCTCCCAGCGGCCCTCAGAGGGAGGCCATTACCATCTCCCCTTTACAAAGAGGAAACTGATGCAGGGGTGGGGCCCCTTGGGTGCATACAGCTGACTGATGCCCAGTGACTGGCCCTGTCTGGGTCCGACCCTCAGCCAACTTGCAAGGCAAGGCCAGGTCCCAGCCCACCTCCTCTAAGAAGTAAGACTCGAAAGCTGACATTCCCCAGAAGTCGGACCTGGAGGAGGAGCCCTTGGTTGCTGCCCTGCTTCACAGCAGCAGGGTGGACAAAACCCTCGGGGCACAGGGGCTGGCCAAGTAAGGCTCCGTGAGCCCCATGGGACAGGGTTGCATTCAGCAGGTTCACACCCTGGAACCAGCCCATTGCTTTGCCCTTCCAAACGGGCAGGTCTTCAGAGGGAAGTAAGCTCGTGAAAGCCGGGCTTGCCCATCTGGTGGACCCTGCCTTCTCCTCTCCCCTGGGGATCCTGCACGGTCCCTGCGCTGACCTGAGCCCGCAAGAGGGGCCAGCAGCAGCCCCTAAAGCATTCTGTCAAAGCACAGAAACAAAGTAACTTGGCCTCCACATTAGCTTGCTTTTTGCCAAGAGAGCCCTGAGTCAGGTTTGGGCTCCACCCTGGGAGCTGTGCTGGCCTCTGGAAGGCACAGGGCCAGCAGACCAGAGCAGGACCAGTCCCCAGTGACACCCAAGTTCCTGGGACTTCCTGGGAAGCAGCAGTGAGCCTGGACTTTGCATCCGAAGAAGGGACCCTGTTGTCCCCTGGGTAGTGCCACCAGCAGGCCAGGCTCCTGCTTCTCTGCAGTCTTTAGGCTCCCCCCTCCACCAGCACCCTGGGTTTGTGGTAAGGACTGAGGGCAGCCAGGCAGCTCAAACCACATCTGACTCTTCAGTGTACCCTGAGGAGGGAGGAAGTGACGGGCCCGGGTCATAGCCAGCCCCAGAGACCCACCCCCACCACCTGGTGCCTGGAGCACCCTGGTAGGCGGAAGGGAGCCAGGCCCCCAGGAGGCCGTGGAGATGACCCTCTTACTCACGCTGGAGCAGGTGCTGCCCCGAGAAGGGGTGTGAGAGATCACTTCCGGCAGGCCGCCTCTGGTCTGCTCTAATGGCTGTTTCAGAGACAAAGTGGAGAGCTCTAATCCAGCAGCCACCTCGGCGGCCAGCAGCCTGCACAAGGGCAAGCAGGTGCCAGGGGTGCCCCCCTCGATGAGGCTGCCCCCGCACCTGTGCAAGCCCACCACACTCCAGCAGTGCGAAGTGGTCATCCACCAGCTGTGGAATGCCAACCTCCTGCAGGCCCAAGAGGTGAGGCTCGGCTGCAGCCTGCAGCCCCACCCACCGTGCCTCTTCTCCCTGCCTTCCAGCTGCAGCACCTCAAGTCCCTCCCAGAAGGGAGCCAGAGACCCAGGGCTGCCCTCGAGGAGGCCGGGCCCGGTTCTCCCAAGTGCGTGCCCCATGCGGCCCACTGGGTCACAACGGGGCCTGCTTGTCTGGGGCTCACGGCTGACTCGTCCCTCCCCAGGGACCAGGAGGCTCTGCACCCGGGGGCCACACTGCTCCCCAAGGTCGCCACCAAGGGCATCTCTAAGAAATGGTGAGTCTTACTGGCACAGGAGGTAGGCAGCCTCTGAGCCCAGGGGCCACAGGGCCGGGGAGGGCGTCCGAAGTGACCCCCCACCCCTGTCCTGATCCTAAGCCGGGCGCCCGTGGTGGAGTGCGCCATCCTGCCTGCACTGAAGCAGAGCCTCAAGAGCAACTTTGCTGAGCGGCAGAGACGGCTGCAGGCGGTGCAGAGCCGGTGGCTGCACTACTCGGTGCTCTGAGTGCCAGGCCCACGACCGCTTACCCTCTGGGTAGCACTTCCAAAGAATCCTAGTACGTTTACACCAGCCTAACTTCCAGACCAGCCAAACCCACGGCAGATAAAGTACGTGGTCTCAGGGCTGAGGAACTGTTTATTTCTTTGCTCGGTATTTCTGCACTTACACACACGTGTGCATTATGAAATAAGCATGAGCCTACCTGTCGAAGACTGGAAATAAAGCTCGTTTCTCCCTGTTGTGAGTCTTGTTCCTCACTGGCCATCAGGCACTGCTGCCCTGAGCGCCCCTAGCTCTGCTCCCTGCCATGGGCAGGGCCTGCTGGGCAGTCACCCTGCTTGCTAGGGCCTTGCGGCTGCCCTGTAAGAAAACAAGCTTCGGGACAGCCTGCACACTCTTCCTGGAGTGCAGGGGGCTGCCTTCCCGGCATGTAGGCAAGACACTGTCCTGTGTCCACTGACGAACACAGCTAGTGAGCGGCCCCACCCAGCCTGCCTTCCTCCATGGACGGCTAGAGCCACGGCCACGGGAGAAGGTCCTCTCCTGTACACTGGGCCCCACCCTGCAATGGCCTCACACCACCCCCTCAATCGCCAGAACAGCAGCTTCAGCGCAGACCCTTGCCTGGCAGGACAGTCCTCCTGGCCCAACCGGCCATGTCCTCAGTGCCGATCTCTGCCGCTTCTGCTTTGGGGAGCAGGGAACCTGGGGGTGAACCAGGACAGGCACGTCTGGGCATTTGTGGCCATCCCTGAGGTGGGGGACCTGGCTCAGCCCCGACAGTGCCCTTCACTGGACGGAGGGCCCCTGACTTGCAGAGAGGGGGGACACAGTGACAAATTCATGACAAACACAGGAATAATAAATTTATTGTAAGAACCACAGAAGACACGGTAATGCACATACAAAAGGGGGGAACCTCTCATCGCCAGAGGGCCGGCTGGCACCCCGTCAGGAGCCCTCAACTGTCTGGAGGGGTCTTAAGACGCTGGGTCCCGAGGACAACATCCTAACCCGAGTGGGCCTAAGTGCCTCACCAGTGGGCACGGCGCCAGGAACAAGATCCACCCAGACACCCCTGCTCCCCGGGTGCCTCCACAGTGCTGAGCAGACTCCCAGGGCTAGAATGAGAAGGATCATGAGGTATGAGGCCCAGCCGGTGGCAGGGGACCCACAGCCACAAACAGACCTTCCCTTGAGCTGCAGTCAGCGCCCCCGGATCCTGGAGCTTCCCTGTGGCGTGCCCCACATGCCAACGGTGGCACGATCTCAACCCAAAACCGTGATCAGGGAATTCTGCATGTTTTAAGGGTTTCCTATGTCCTGCACATTCCCCTATGGAAACGGTAGAAGAGCTTTCTGGCGCACACGCAAGAGGCTCACACAGGACCCTGAGTTCCCGAGGAAGGACACGGGCCCTGCAGAGGCTGCGGGGATAGTAGCCTGAGGAGCACAGGGCCGGGGGCGTGCCTGGCTCCTGGAGGAAGCAGCCAGCTGCCTGTCCCAGTCCTGTCCAAGTGTGGGAAATGTTTGGCGGGTCCCCAAGGCAGAGGATAAAAGCAGGAAAGCTAACCTAAGCCCAAGCTCTCTAAGGAAGTCAGCATCTAGAAATGTCCGACACGGGGCCCCGACGAGGCTGCCGGCTGCCCCATGGTCCCTGGAGGGCAGGCAGCCGGAGATGCAGTGGCGGTGGCGGCTAGGCGGCCGAGAGGCAGGCCTGGTGGATGCTTTGGGCCCAGGTGTTGAGCAGGGCCGTGACCGAGTGCTTGTCAGGGAGCTGCAGCAGCCGCGAGGTCATGCACCGGTGCACCGACTGCAGGAAGGGGTTGGCGTCTGCAGCAGAGCGGCCGGCCATGAGCGCTGTGTTCTCTGCCAAGACCCGGGCCCGCCCCACCCAGCCCAGGGACCGGGGTGCCAGCTCCGCGTGCCAGTGGAGAGCTGGAACAAAATGGTCTGGAGCCTCAGGGACGGCCTCAGGGCCCTTGTCCTGGTCCTCTACATGCCAGCTCTGAGCCTCGGGGGGACTGTTTCCCATCACCGAGGTTCTCTCTGGGCCTGTCACCCAGATGGGTCCCCATGAGCCCAAGCTCCCATGTGTACCCCCAGGTCAGCCCTGAAGAGGCCCACAGGAGCCACTGGGCCTGCTCACCCCTCATCCCTGGAACACGGCTGCCCCGGAGCTGCAGGGACACCATGCGGTCAGAGACGCTTCTCTTTCCATGTGACTGAGGGGCAACCTGCTCCTACCCGCCAAGGAGGAAGGGGAAGGGGGGGCCTCAGCAGGGCAGGGGCACGTGGAGGAAAGCCTGGTGGCCCGTCCTCTCAGTCACCCACCGTACTGCCACTGCCGGTCGATCCACAGTGGGCTCTGGGCAGGGTAGTCGGCAGGCACGCTGAGCTCCAGCGGTGGCACGCTGGGGAGGTCCTTGTCATCTGCAACACACAAGGCCGCACCTGTGACCAGGCTTGCCCCTACTCATAGCCCTGCTCCCCAACAGCACCCTCCAGGCCCCAGAGGTTCTGGTGAGGCTGCTGCAGAGCCGAGGCCCCTGACTCCCGAGCTTCCCCGTCTCCCCAGGGCCTCAGGTGAGCAGAGTCGCAGCTGGACAGGAGGGAGGGGGCTTCCCTGCGCGTGGGGGAGAGGTGAGAGTGTGCAGGCTCAGGGCCCAGCCCCCAGTGCGAGTCCTGGGCCAGGAGCGTGTGGGGACCAAGGAGGACAGCGGGCAGGCTCCGGAGAGGGCCTGGGGCTGGGGGATGAGCAGGTGGTCCTGGGCAGTGGCAGAGCCTGGGGCTGCCAGTCAGGGTTCGTTCTTGATCCACCCCACCCCCGGCACTCACCCAGCTTGCATATCAGGTGGACGGTGCCGTTGTTACTGCAGTGAGAAGGGTCCAAGTTCACCAGGAACTTAGGGTCTAGCCGGGCCACCTCCCCCTGGAGCACATTGGGGATGCTCTGCCGTTCGTCCTCTTCAAACCTACGCTTCCGGGTGCAAACCACCGGGGCCCTGGGGGAGGCAGCCATGTTGACCACCCTGGCCAGGCCATGGTCCAGGACTCACCGCCCACCAAGCCCTGGGAGGTACGCACGCGATGGGGGGGCCGTGTATGGCCGTCATGGCAGGCACGAACGTGCGGTACAGGGAATGGTTGAAGACAGGTGAGCGGATATTGGCCAGGACGGCATCCAGGAGTGGCTGGCACAGGTACTGCTGCTTGGTTGGCGGCACCGGGGGAGGTGGGGGCGTGGGCTGGGACAGGACAGCAGGGTCAGCAGCCCACTCTTGGGGCGGCTTTCCAGACCCCAGGTCCTCATCTTCACTCACAGCCAGACCTCCTGGCTCCCCCACCACCTCCACCCCTGCAGACAAGGATGGCTGATCCTGGACACACTCTATTCCCCCTGGGCCTGCACCCAGAGGCTGATTTCTCCCATGTTCTCACCCCACCCACACTGCAGACCTGACCTGGAAGAGGACTCCTGGGCAGGGTCCCCAGACTGAGCGGCACGGTCCCCTGCCCACCTCTGACTGCAGACTCCTTCTAGCTTGTGGTTCCGAGTCACTGTGGGGTGAGCCCTGACCTCCCCAGAGATGCCTGCGACCCTACCAACACCACCAGGCCGCAGCACCCCACGCACCACTGCCATGTCATTCTTGAGTTTCTCCAGGGCGATCTCACACTTCTGCAGCGTTTTCAGAGGGCACCTATAGGGGAGAAGATGTGGCTGATTCTCCACGTGGGAGGACAGGGGAGCCGGCAGCTCTCACATTCTCATCCCAACCACTAACCGTCTGGCCTCCTCTGGATGGAGCGAGACCTGAGGCCTGGGCCACCAGAACCCTCCCCAGGAACCCCAGCCAGCCCACCCGCTGTTCCCAGACCCAGAGTCTAAGGCAAGATGGCCCCGCACCCAGGAGCTGCTGGTCCTGGCTGGCAGAACAAGGCACGCATGTGATGGATCAAGGGGAAGGACAGAGGCCAGGCCCCTGCCCCCCATCCCGATGACCCCAATGAGGTCCTGGAGGGCCGTCCACCGCCAACAGGCCCACTCCTCAGTGCCCAGCATTCTGCCCAGATGAGCAGAACAGGGAGGACATTCTGGAAGGGGAGCCTGGCCTGAGCCAAGGCCTGGGGAGATGGCAGGAATCCCAAGGCCAGTCCATGCACAGGAGGTGGGGCTGGCTGAGCTCTGGTGCTCAGCAGCCCCACGGCCAGTGGGCAAGGGAAAGGACATGAGTGTGTGTCCTCTGCCTTCCAAGTGCTTCTCGGACACCGTCCCAGTTCCCTCCCACAGCCAGCGCTTTCGAGCTCAGCTGCCCCTTTTGCAGATGGGGTAACTAAGAAACAGTCACTTGCCCAAGGCCACCAGCAAATCAGGGGCAGGGCTGCAGGTCAGACTGAAGCCCGTCAAGGCCAGCAGCCCAGTGAGGCAGGGCTGTGAGGGCCACAGGGTAGGCCAGCCAAGCAGCTGGGAACCCTCTGTGAGGTGTGGGCGCAGCACCATCCTCCCCCCATGGGCCTGGGGGCAAAGCTCACCGCTTGGAGGGGTCTGTCAGTATGTCCAGAAGGCTCTTCATCTTACTCAGGTCCTTTTTTCTGTCTGGGGCAGAAGGAGGCACTCAGACAAGGGCCTGGGCGTCTGCAGGCCCTGCCCCCGGCCCACCCGCCTGGCCCCCACCTTCGTTCTTGTCGATCTTGTTGATCATACGGCGCAGGGGCTCGATGTACTTGGACAGCTGCTTCAGCTTGTCCAGGTACTGCTGCTCCTCGGCCTGGCTCGAGCCCGCGGGGCTCATGACGGAGCTGGGGTTCACTGCGGGACACGGCCCAGTGAGCATGGCCCCAGCCCACGAAGGGTCGCCAGCCCCTCACCTTGCAGGGCCCCGGACTGTGCCCGCCTTGGGTCCGACTTACCAGGCGTGTTCAAAGGTCCTGGGGAGGGGACGCTGAAGTTCTGCGGGGTGCGCGCCGTCACCGGACTCTGGGAGGGCTGCGGCGAAGGGCTGGGCAGGAAGCTGCTGGGGGACGGGGCAGGGCCGGAGCTGTGCAGAGCGAAAGGGAGCGCAGCCATGAGCCTGGGCCTGCAAGCCAAGTGGGGAGGGGCACGGGCCGGGCCTACCTGACGTTGGAGTTGGGCTGTGAGCTGGGTGGGCCGGGCTGCGGGGACGGCTGCGGGGGAGGGGGCATCGACTGCGGGGTCTGCACCTGCTGGCCCGGCGATGGTGACGACAGCATGGTGAGGCCACTCTGGCTGACCTGGAGGGGGAGGGGCTCAGCCTGCTCACCCGCCCCACGCCCTCCCACCACCACTCCCCACTTACAAGCCCCTTCTCTCTCGCAGCCTCGCCACACACCCTGGTCTTCCTCTGATGCCCCGCCTCTCAAATACAAACACGGGCACACGCCCCCACCCGTGGGTGCCCACGCAAGCACACAGTGACCAAAACGCTGGCAGAAGGGCCGGGCTGGGTGGCCCTCTGCTCCTGGCGGGGGCTTCTGGGCTGCGATGGGACACCCCCAGGTCCCTGCCTCGTGAGTGTGGAAGCCTGTGGGCATGGGAGGCCAGTGAGGGCTGTGCTCTATGACAGGCAGGACCATCCCACAAACCTCAACAAGACCCCTCAGGCCACAGGCAGCCCCAGCTCTGACAGCACCAAGGTCAAGCCCAGCTGCAGGGCAGTGGGGACGCCGCCATCTTGTTCTGTGTCCCACCTGTGCCTGCCTGATGCGAGCAAAGCCTCCCCTTGTCACCCCTGCCAGCACACCTGGCCTGGGGTTCTGTGGTCTGGCAGCCAAGCAGCCCCTGTGGGACCAGCAGACCCCACTGGGAGAGGGGAGAGGGGAGCGGCTTGGCATCGTGTTCCCTTCTCTACACGGCAGGCTCTCCCTGCAGTCCTCGTCAGGACGGACACAGCAGGGTCTCCACCCCGCTGTCATCACTAGGACAATGCCATATTCATCCGAGAACGCGGAGGGAGGAAAGCACACACCCAGGACTAAGATCGACCGTGTGTGGAAATAACTACTTTCCACCCGAGAGGCACAAGATGCCAGTTCTGGCAGCGTGGACGGCTTGGGGAGACAGCTGCCCGCCAGTTCTGTGCCCAGTGGCCCCGGAATGAGCCCTGCAATGCAGCCTTGCCAAGAGCCTGCGGACAGTGCACAAAGGCCCAGCCACTTGCCACACGGGGACCACCCCAAAGGCCCTGTCAGCTTCACTCAGAGCTTCCCCCACACCCCAGCAACCTCCTGTGCACTGAGCATCACCTCCGGAGCCTGCTTCCTGGAGCCCAGCTCACACCCCACCCTCCATTCCCGGCCTGCCCAATTCTGCAGACTGACTCTAGCCTGCCCCCCTCACTCTGCACACCGAGGCTGGACATGACACTGGAGCAGGGCCTGCATGTGTTCACAATGTGATGATGAAACTAAATGAAAACCACCCAGCCAGGTTCTGAAAGGAGGCAGGGTGATCCATGGGAAACAAAACATCTACCCCAGGAGGATGAGCTGATCTGTGAGGCTAGGGCGGTACTGACGTCCACGCAGTCTGCCAGGGAAGGGCTCCAAGGCAGGAGAAAGGTCTGCGGGGAGACCCCTGGCAACACAGGAGTGTCTCACACTCACCAACAGGTCGCATGCAGCAGGCACTGCAAGCCAGGGGTGACCCAGACAGTAGCAGATGCCAACATGACCCCAGCAATAGCTGTGGGTGCGAGGCAGCCCTCATACAGAGCTGGAAGTGGACAGTCCTGCAGCCACACCAACAAAAGAACTTCCAGAGTGTGGGCCAGGAAGCCGTTCTCCTGTTGTCTGTCGAAACTCGAGCGCTGCCTGAAGAGCCCACCACCCACCCTACCAGATGCTAAGTGGGATGTCAGTGCGTGGAGCACGTGCTGTGCTGGGCTCCCCTGCCCGCACCCGGGGTGTGGCTGATAGCACCCAAAGGCCACGGCTGGCCGGCACCACCCTGCACTTTGGGGTCCCCAGCTGTGAGCCCCATGGCAGCTCAACAGTGCTCCTTCCAGAGCAAGAGAGGCCCAGAAGCACTCAGGTGGTGTGAAAGAGGCACTATTTCTTCCCAGAAGAAACAAAGTCATCAGGAATGAAAAGTTTGACTCTGATCTCTGCGGACTGGTTTTCTGGTCACAGAGCTCCCGAGGTGGAAAGCTGGTTTTCTCTTGACCACAGATCCTAACAAGACACACCAGACGTCTACAGTATTGGACGAGCTAGGCCACGACTCCTCCTCTCAACACACACCCGCCCAGGGAGGCCCTGAGCGCCCCCGCTGGCTGCGGCCATGGTGGAGGGCCCAGTGGGAGGGGAGGGGGCGCAGGGTATGCTCAGCCCATTCCACACACTGTTCCACACACACACATCAGGGAAGGGGGTCTGTAACGTGAGAATGACAGCTAAGCTTCCGAATGCTGGAAGAATAGGAAGCAGGAAGACCAAAGCACAGGGGCTGCTGGGAAATGGAGACGCATCCTGTCCTGGTTTTCACCTGCCATCATGGAGTGTGGCTCTCCCGCTGAGTCCTAGTCCAGCGCCCCACTGGACAGGGATGTGACGGGGACATCTCTCTCATCTACACGAGTTAATGTCAGAGCCAGGCATACAGAACAGGGTTCACTGATTTTCCTGAAACACCCAAATCCCAAACTCCAGCCTGGGCTGTGAGCCCCACCACCCATCAGGCCCCAGCACCACCAAGCGCACAATGATGCCCCCCTCCTCTGCTCTGACAGGGCAGACTTGAGAGACCAGGCCTGGGGGCCGCCACCTGGGCCCCATTCCAGCACCTCTTTCACACACTGCGACACTGGACCCCGCGTTCTGAGGTCAAATGCGTGGGCCCCACACGGCAGTTCTAGTCTATGTGTTGACCTCCTGGTAGGTGACCAGCTGGTACGATCGAGAGCCTCAAAGTGCCCCCGTTGAGTCACTCTGGGAAATGTCAGCAAACAGTCCAGGACCTGCCATGCACCACGGCTAACAGCAAAAAACCAGAAGTAACCTCAGGATCCGAGAACAAGACAATAATTAAGGACAGCAGGATACGTTCATAAGAGGAACAGCACACAGCCACGGAAGGCAACATTGACCAAGGGACTCTAATTACAGGACCTTTTACTTCTATTGTAACGTGAAAAAGAAAGAAGCCACACACAAAATCCTAGAGAACCGGAAAGAAAAGAAGCCAAGCAGGCTCTCCCACTTGAAATGCTTCCCTTGCTTATACTCCCCTCAACCTCTCCCACCTTCTACAGCCACCAACTGTTTTCTAGTTTTGGGGTCAGAATATCTGTAGCCTTGTCTTGTCTACTGTTGCCACCGAGGTTGCAAAAAAGGCTGTGAATCCAGAGATTCTCTCCCTCAGGGGTCTCCTCACACTCTGGGAACCCCACTGCTGCTAGAACCACACAGTAAGGCAGCTAACTGGCCCCCAGGGACCTGCATGAGCACCCCACACATACCTGTGCCAGACCTGGGAACCCACAGTGCGGCCCTGCAGGCAGGGTGAGGCCTCACTTCCACTCTGCCCAAGGCTGGCCTCTCACTCAGGACGGGGTGGACACCCCTCCCATAAACCCTGAAGGTGCATCCTCAGAAAACCAAACCCGCTCGCAGGTAATGAGTGGTGGCACCTCCTCCCCACCCAGCTACCTGAGTCCCCACCTGGGGAGAAGAGCCCACGCCTGCCTCAGCCCTGCCGGCTGTCAGCCCTCTGTGCTCCATGAGGGGACAAAAGGTTACAAACCAAGTTTACCCTCGAGGTGATCAAGCCCACGGCCAAGCCCCACGCGGGCTGGACTGGGACCTCCAGCAGAAGCAAAGGCATGTGACTACCAGGAAGGGAAGCACAGCCAAGGGGTCGGCATGGGGAATGGAGCGCATCCCCCTCGGCCACTGCAGGAGAGCGATGGGCGCCCAGGAAGATGCAGGGAGTCCACCTACCCAAGCGAGAAGCCTACGAACCAGCAGATGGGGCCTGGACCATTGGAAGACGGCAACTCTTCGGCTGCTCGCTTCCCAAACACCAAGAACTGGGGTGAAAAGGGAAGTTCTGCTTCAGGATGGAAGCTGCCAGGTCAGAGGGCCAAGCCTCCCACTCTCCTACCAGACCTGAGAGGCACCAAGAGCAGCGGCTTCCGCCGGCTGGGCGGTCACTCCATGCCGCTGCCGCCATCCCAACTCTGACCACACTCCGCACAGGACACCGAGAGCAGAGAGCCCCAGGAGGCCTGGGGACAAGGCTGGGACACAGAGGGTGGTGGCAGAGGAGGACGCCAACATTGTCATACAAGGCCTCCAGCCCTGCCCCAGCTACAGACATGATGTCCGTGGTTTGTTGCACGTAATACCACAGGTGGGCAAGCTGGTAATGTGGCGCAGTGACCAAGAGCTACCTCCAAATGCCACAGTTCCCCTCAATGGCGTGTTTCCAAAGGACTCCAGCCATATGGTGGGGACCATTTCTGAGCCTCCCGCCAATGCTAAGGGAACACACGGCATCCCAGCAGTGCTTACCACACGGCCCGGTGCCCCAGACAGGGAGCTCAACGGACTCGGGGAGCGAGCAGGGCAGGGGCCGGCAGGGACACTCAGCATGGCAGCCCAGTGCCACACAGCACCGGGGTGGCCGGGTTGCCCCTGGGGTCTCACCACATCAAGCAGCACATCGGCTCTGTCTAAAGCCAACGCTCTTCTGAGCCAGACTATCAGTGTTGCCACTGCTGGGTGGAGACAGGAGGAACCAAGGCTGGGGACTGGACATAGGTGAGGGGGGCGTCTATGGAGAAGTCATGAGGCCCAGCCTCCCACCCCAGACACCAAGGAGGCTGTGGCCTCTACTAGGCAAGGCTGGGAGGTCTCCTCCATCCCATCGACATCCGATTTGCGGAAGGTGGGCAGGGTGGACATGGGCCACATGTGCCACACATGCCACACAGGGGTGAGCCCTGCAAGTCAGCAGGGCACGGGGCCATGGCACAAGTCTGTGCTGACCACCAGAGCCACATGCCACCGTCCTCGTGCTCTTCCCAGTTTCTAGAGAGCTACTATCCCCCCAGCCCCATGCTCAGGGCTGAGGCAAGAAGAGATCGTGATGCTCTCACGAATGCCCTCTTGGAGGAGAAGGGAAGAGGGAAGATGTGGGGCATCACGGGAGGTGGGAACAGCCTGTGCCCTGTGAAGCCGGGGGCCCAGACACGGCCGAGTGGGGCTTCCACCCAAGTTCCCCAGGGACAGGCCCTGATCCAACCAGGACCCTCACCATAGCACGGGGGACATGCACTGGCCGGCGCCTCCAGAGCCTTGGCTCTGGGCCCTCACCTGGACTCCGGGACCCACTATCTGGGAGGCCTGAGCCGTCGGCACTGCTGTCTGCGGTGGCACCTGGGGCTGCACCTGCGGCACCTGGGGCTGCACCTGCGGCTGCTGCACCACCATCGGAGCCCGGACCTGAGGAGGAAGGGAGCAGCAATCTGGAGCCACCAGGGCACAGGGCAGAGCACCTCCACGTCTGTCCGTGGGAGCCGGCGTCTCTAAGCTCTCCTCGAGAAGGGGGATGGGCTTGCCACCACTTCCCTGGCTGATGTCCCGCTACTGGCTGTCCCTTATCCCACGGCTCATCAAAAGTGTCCACGCCAGCCTGGCTCTGAGTCAGCACAGCTGAGCCCTGTCTCTCCTGGCGAGATGCCTGCCCCGATGGGACACCACCACACAGCCGTCACCACCAGCTACCGCGGCAAGCAGAGCATGCTGATGGTCTACGAGAACCCCACTCTGAGCCCTGACTCCTCAAAGGAAACCAGGTGACAGGTGTGACCCTCCTCAAGACCCTCCCCAGACCTCCAGCCTGCACCTGTGGGGCTTACTATTCAGCCACTACTCGATTCAGGTGTGGCCCGTATCCCCACTTCACCCAATGAACAGCAAATAGAAAAGGCCACAAAAGCCAAGGAAGTGAGTTGAAAAAACATTTAAATGGCCCCTTGACACAGCTACCCTTGACTCAGTACAATATTTTGTCTTTCATGTAAATGTCACTGACTAGTTCTGCTTTTACACAGATGCGTAAGACTGAAAATAACAGTATTTTACATCAATACCCCCCTCAAAAATACAGTCATGATCTCTGCTCAGAACAGAACTGAGTGGTCAGCAGACCACCGTGGACACCCAGGGGAGGTGGTACACTGCCCCCCACAACAGTGAGAAGATGGGTGTTGCCATCCATCTAATCATCCACAATCTTACAATGCCTGTGGCTACCACCGAATCAGCCATGCTGCTCGGAAGACAAGGTGCCACCTGGGAGCAGGGGCGTCGCACACTGGAGGCAGCAGCTGGAGGAATGCACGCACCCTTGCTGATCTAGATGTGCGGGCCGGCAGGGGCCGGGGCCACCTGAGTCCTGGTGCTGGAAGAGGACCTTCCATCTACAGCCAGGGCGCCCCAGAGACCGCTGACAGCACAGGAGACGCCAGAAGAGCCCTGGCTGTGCGAGCCCTGGCTGTGCGAGCCCTGGGTACTCACGAGTTTCAGCTGCGGCTGGGCATACAGCATCTGTCCGGGGAGGGCCGGAGCCTGCGACACCAAAGGCTGTGTCTGTGACTGAGGCGGGAGCTGCGATGGCTGGTTCTGGGCCACCGGCGGCTGGGGCTGCGGTGGTGGCTGGTGGTGCTGCGGGTGATGCAGCTGCTGCAGCTGCTGGGGCAGGGCCTGTGAGGGGGGAGGCTGTGGCTGCTGCATTGGGGGCTGCTGTATTGGCGGCTGGGCCTGCAAAGCCTGCTGCTGCTGCTGCTGCTGCTGTTGCTGCAGCTGCAGCTGTGCCATCCGTTGTAGTTGTTGCTGCTGCTGCTGCTGCATCTGGGGTGGAATAAGCAGCACCCATCACCTCTCCGGCCTTGGAATCCTGCGTTGGGAAGTCTGCCCAGGCTGCTCTCCCGGGAGGCAGAGGGACACCGAGGGCACCAAGTGTGCACCTGTGCCCTAGCCACCAGATGCTGGCCCATCTCTAGGCCTGAGAGGACAAAGGAAGGGTCCAGGGAAGGGTCTGGAGGGCTTGGTAAGGGGTCACATATAGGCACAGCCCCAGAGAAGCTGGGCAAGGTTCAGCTGACCGCAGATCTCCAAAGCCTCTCCAGGGATGCTTGTTTGGTCCTTAGAGTGGTCACAGGACCAGGCTCAGGATGAGGAGGAAAAGTGGGGCTGGGGCTTTCCTGGTGGCGCAGCAGTTGAGAGTCCGCCTACCAAAGCAGGGGACACGGGTTCGTACCCCGGTCCGGGAAGATCCCACATGCCGCGGAGCAGCTGGACCCGTGAGCCATGGCCGCTGAGCCTGCGCGTCCGGAGCCTGTGCTCCGCAACGGGAGAGGCCACAACAGTGAGAGGCCCGCGTACCGCAAAAAAAAAAAAAAAGCGGGACTGAAAATTCACTGTCAGCCCTGGGAGAGGGGCCTCCAAGATCCAGGAGGGGCTTCGGGAAAAGCAGGCATAAGCCAAGGCCTGGAGCAGGTGGGAAAGAGCAGGGGGCCCTTCAGGGCTTCCCTCCCTCAACCCATAACAGGCCTGACAAAAGACGCTTAACCCGTCAGGGCGTTGACTGCAGAGCATGCGCGTGAGAAAAGGTTTTCTTGTAAGCAGGGCTCCTAATGTGACATGGCCACCCCTGCGGGACACTAGGCAGGGCTCGATTAGTGCCGCGTCCAGACACTGGAACACTCAGGGACAGGTCAGGAGGCCCGCGTGTGCTCAGAGGACACACACCCATGGGGTGGTCCAGGCCGTGCTACGAGTGGAGGGGAGCCTCACTCTGGCCTGGGCAGACTCTCACATGAACTGCCTGCACCAGGAGCCACCTGATCCATCCCCCGGCACACAGTAGGCCCACTCATTCTCGTCCCAGGCTCGGGGGCCCTGGAGAAGGCCAGGGTCCAGAACGATGGCATCTAGTACCTGCTGCTGGTTCTGATGATGCAACTTGATCAGATGCTGCTGCTGCTGCTGCTGCTGGAGCTGCTGCTGCTGCACCACGGCCTGAAACTGCTGCTGCATGGCACTCTGCTGTACCTGGAACTGCTGCTGCTGCTGCTGCTGCAGCGCCGCCTGCTGCTGTGCCTGGAACTGCTGCTGCTGCTGCTGCAGCGCCACCTGCTGGAGCTGCAGCTGGGCTGGAGACAGATGGGTCGGGGAACTCGCACTGGGTGCAGCGGGGAAGGCGCCGCCCCCGCCAGTGTGGGAGGGACAGTGGTGATGATGACAGGACAGAACTTACTATAGAGTGAATCATGGTAGTAATGAACAGGAAAGAACAGGCCAGCCAAGAGGGCTGGGACCCAGCAACTAGTGATCTGCTTCCCGTCTCGATGGAACCACTTGCTCTGGACACTTCGTATCAAGAGAAGCTCACAACTGGGATCTTTTGTGACTGGCTCCTTCCCCTCAGCATCCCGTTTACAAGGTTCACCCACACTGTGGCACGGATCAGTATTCCCTTTCTTTTTGTTGCGGAATAATACTCCACTATATGGATTTCCCACATTTTGTGTTGTCCATCAGCTGATGGACATCTGGGTTGTTTCCACTTTTTGGTAGTTATAAATAATGCTGATACAAACAATCATTCAGGAACTTCCCTGGTGGTCCAGTGGTTAAGACTCCATGCTTCCACTGCAGGGGGCATGGGTTTGATCTGGGCTCGGGGAAATAAGATGCCACAGGCCACACAGCGCAGCCAAAAAATTAAAAACAAACAAACAAACAAATAAATTATTCACAAGATTTTCAGTGATCCGGTCTCTTTGGGTGATGAAAATGTTTTAAAATTGATGCTGTGAGTGCACTGACCACCCCTGCACAGTACACTTTCAGTGGGTGAATATGGGTACATGAACTATATTTCAACAAAGATGAAAAGGAGGAACACAGAGACACTTCGTACACCTTGCCCAGTTTTCCCCAATAGTAGCACTTTGTATAACGCCATAACACAATCAGAACGTGTGCCCATTTGCCTGAGTGTGTAGTTTAAATTCTATACAATTTTCTCACCTGGCAAGATTCAGCCACCATGGAGGTCAAGACCTGGCACAGTTCCAACACCATGGGAACCCTTGTGGTGCCATGCCTCACCAGCTACTAAGGTGACCTCCATTTTTAATGACTCTGCCATTTTTAAACCACACAGAAGGACTGGCTCTCTCCTTCAGCACAATTTCTGAAGAGC